TGTAATTAGAGACTCAGTGCTGGGGACCTTTTGAAGCCTGTGTGGCATGGCCTACCAGGCCAGATAATCTGTAGTCCCCAAAATTGGTGTAGATCATTTGATCTCAATAGAGCCATGTTGTCTTTATACATGCTGGGACATATCCAAAGATTTAACGACATTTAAAAAAAGACTTTTGCCCTTGTAGACAGGAGAAGGTGTGATAGCAAGAAATGTACGTTAAGAACACATAAAGTTTACTTTCCCTCAAGATGTGAGTAGGACTTTGTAAGACATCTGCATGGCATGACGATACAGGTTGCATTTTTTATTTTAAACGTCTGAATATTAATAAAAATGTAGATGAAAGCAGGTAGTAGGCTCATCAGTTGAAAAAATGTTATTTTCAGAAGTGTGTTAAATTGGAACCTGTTTTTTTAGGGCATAATGTATATTCAGGACAGTCCCAGTTTCTGATAACTAATAGACATAGGCTGAGAAAGGAGAAAAACGCAAAGGTACGGTTAAAATGGCTTGCCTAAAACCATGCAGAAAGTCTCAATAAAGGTGCTGAGTCTGTATTCTTAAATTTCTTACTTGCTTTTTTCCCTTGAAGACAGTTTTTCCTCTCTAAAGACAGTACTGATATATCTGTGTAAGGCTACACTTATTTTGAATACATAATATGGGTATTTAGGAGAACGTGTATTAGGAGGAAACTCTTTCAAAGTCAATGTGTTTTTGAAAAATAAGAAATGCATTCTAGGGTCAGTGGAGGAAAATGCATTTTTCATGCTATATAAACCTTTCTTATTGTATTTTTATAGCCAGGTGGACTATCGAGCAAAACTCTGGGCTTGCAACTTTTGTTATCAGAGAAATCAGGTAAGAAAATGAAACGTTCAGGATATAGAAGATCTTTTTTGTAAGTTAAAAGTGAAAATCCTCATTTTTCAATTTCAGTAATTGTGAAGTGAAATTGACAGCAAGAGCATGAGTGTGCAGCTGTTATCTTCAGAGGTTGCATTGAGATTTTTTTTCATGACAGCAATAGTGCATGTCTGGTGCAGGGGAAAGTAGCCCGTGTCTATGTTCTTGTTTTTGTATAACTTGTAATCTTTTATTTATACTTAATTTCTGTGGTTTTATTTGCAGTTTCCTCCTACCTATGCTGGGATCTCTGAAATGAATCAGCCAGCTGAACTTTTGCCTCAGTTCTCCAGCATTGAATATGTAGTACAGGTAAAATCATTAAATAAAATCTTTAACATCTATAGCCTTGCAATATACAATCCAATGACTTGAATTTTAATATTAATTCTTTTTTAGGGTAACAGTTACTTGAATAGAAATAAAAAGTAGACCTGGACCCCCAAATTGCAAACTTTTGCAATTGCAAATCCATAATCTCTAAATTCCATTTTTGAGGATTAAAATTATTAAGACTTCAGTGAGGTGTTCAGGTTATGAAGATAGAAGACTGAACAGAATCCCTACTTTTTGCCAACTCTAATAACACAAAGGGATTATTTTGCTCATAGTATAAAAAGAAAAAAAAAGAACTGGTGATCTCTAAAATAAAATTATGAGGTGAAATGCTACAGAATGTCATCAGGTTGGAATATTTTATAATTGTGAATAGCTTTATGACTAGTATGTTCACTTGGAGCAATAAAAGCACATTGTATATTAAAAGATGTATGTAATTGTCACAGACTTCAAAACTGTCATGACATTCTGAAGGAGTTTTTTCTTTTCTTCTGTAGTAAGCATTTAATTTTTGTGCAATTCATTATGGTAGGGTTTTTTTTCCCCTTTAGCCCCAAATAATGATTACTGCGTGAGAGGGAGCTATGTTAGGTGTGACATTGATGTTCTTGGCATGATTAAAATGAAAACTTCTACAAAATGTACTTTATTTGTTCATTTCTGATCCTGTAAATATGGCAAGGTTTGTTTTTCATGTGATTATATTTGTGTTTCTTACAGCGTGGTCCTCAGATGCCTTTGATATTTCTTTACGTTGTGGACACGTGCATGGAAGATGAGGACTTGCAAGCTCTGAAGGAATCCATGCAGATGTCGCTTAGCCTCCTGCCACCAACTGCGTTAGTAGGTCTTATCACCTTTGGCCGAATGGTGCAAGTTCATGAGCTTGGCTGTGAAAGGATTTCCAAAAGTTATGTCTTCAGGGGAACAAAGGACCTGTCTGCAAAACAGCTTCAGGTAATGCACAAAAGCTAACAGAAACAAATCGTCAAGGCGATGACAATGAAGAACTTCAAATAGTCTGTAAACAAATTTTGTAATAAAATCTTATGTATTTGATGGCAGGAAATGCTGGGGCTTACAAAAGTAGCTGTTTCACAAGTTGGTCGGGGTCCTCAAGTGCAGCAGCCGCCACCTTCTAACAGGTAATGTGTTTAAGACATCTAAAAAACCATACCGTGACTATACTGATCTACTGGAAAACTTACATTTTATGACAATGAAACAATCAGCTGACAGTCAAACCTTTTGATTAGGCACATGTTTACTAGGAGACTAATGGTTGTAGCCTGTTTCTTTTGTACAGTTTTTACTGGGAAGAAAATGGGAGATAGTAAAATCATCTGGATGATGCTTTGGAAGTGTTCTCAGAGAATCATAGATTCATAGAATGGTT